TTGGGAAACTTTGGAAAACATTTAGGCTGTGAAAGCTTTTGCAAAACCATAGCATACTCATCTAAAAAAACATTAGAGCACACTCACCTTTCATTAGATATCAAAATATTCAAAATGCTTTCTGTTTTTTTCCAGAGCTACTTAGTCACATGTCATGGCATTTTCCAACCTAACAGTAGGAGTGACAGTCGTGAGCATGGTCAGTTGACGACACCAGGAGACAGGGCGGAATGAATGTTTATTGCACATTCAGCCTTATATAGTCTTATATCACATCTATCACTATCCTCTTCATTCTTCTTCATTCTTCTGTCTTCTTCCACGTCCACACCATTCCAGGGTGGTCATCCACTCTAAATCGGTGAACCACGCCTCCCCTTAACATCCCCCCGTAGTGACCGTCTGGTCACTCTACTGCTCAACCTGCCTCTCGAGTAACCCCACATCAATTACAAAATCTATTTTCAAACTCTTTATTTCTGCATACATCACAAAAAAGATTTTTTCCAAATTCTAATGCCCCGCTTCGGAGGCTTCTTCACTAGGCCTCGCCTCGCCTCGGTCTTCGGCCACATCGCGTTCCAACACCACCCTTCGGGAGGGCGTCCCGGAGCTAGAAGGCGAAGGCGCTTCATATCTCGGGGAGGGGCATGAGGCCTTCGCCCCGGCCATCTCCGATTTCGGCCCCGCCGGGCGAGTAATCTTTTCCATTACACCCATTACTCTGCCTAGCACCACACAACCTACTGAAGCCATCACCACCACAGTGGGCGGGGACCCTGCCATCGCAGGGGGAGTACTCCATGTCGTCATCACCGGGGTTCCGGTGGGCGGGGGACCCAGAAACACCACAACAGGTGTACTCGGACACCCACTTCCCACCGGGTTGACCCCCGGTATCACTGCTGCCGCCGTCGACGTCGTTACTTGCGGGCTCCACGGTACCAGTTGAATCCACGGTCCTGGTGTGTTCATTGTCGCTCTTCTGCAGCTCGTCCAAAGCAAAATGAGTCTGCTCACCCCTAGCAGAGTCTTTTATACATATCCCGTTATCGCTCCGGCAAGAGGTAACTCTTATCCCATTTATCTGTATCATTGACTTCTGTAATCTCGCCCTCTTCATGGCAAGATACTCTTTCATTTTTTCCGTTGTCTTGCGTTTGCGGCTAGACCTCCTAGGTATTCCCGCTTGTACTTCGGTTCGTCCTTCCCCAGGGTGTCGTTCCAGTTCCCCTTCTCTACTCGGCCGTCTATCCCCCAACTTTTGGGGATCCTCCTCCTCCCAGAACGACACCCTTTTCTTCAACTGGTCAGCATGTGCCATACGACTTCCGGTACCATGATGCACCCTATACGTATTCGATCCGACCACCTCTAACAAGGGAGGTCGTTCAGGGCGTGGTGCGCTTTTCGAAAACGGTTTTTTGCATATTGTAGGGGCTCATGCAAGGACCTGAAAAGTGTGCTTCATTTTCGCTGCGCGCTTCCAGGAAAGGTAAAAAACGAGTGAAAAGAAATCTGTGGAATCTGCTTCGTTCTGGGCCTCTATGCGGCGTAGGTCACTTGCAACTTTGACCAGTTGCTGAGTGGGGGGGGGGTCCTTATAAAGGGGCCGTTTGAATCGAAGCGAAAAATCGCCGTAAGTGAGCTTCCAACTTGGGTCATGTGCTCAAGGGTGAACGGCTTCTTGCAATGGTTTCATCAACGATAAGAGCGCTAGCATAGTCGAGCATCGGATGGCCTAGCGGATAGAGTGAAGAGGTTTCGCAATCGGACAGTGAGGGTGGGGTTGATGGTTCGGCTCCCCTTGCGTCGTGGCTTTTTGCATTTTTTAGATTTCGCTGTTCTCGCTTCCATTTGTGTCTGCGCATGAATATAACTCGGATATTTGCCATTTATGGGCACATTCTGAGTAGCTGTACCTCATGAGTCAGTGCTATTCAACTATTTCGATTTTCACGCACCATTGAACAAGATTGTTGCTGGACGTTGATCCTCATAGGCTATACAGTGGATCTGATTGCGAATTTAGTAACTTCTGGTGTGGTGTCAATTATAGACAATTTGGGGCCACATCTTCTTTCCACTGAATTCGTTATGTACACCAATATAGGGAACGTTCAGCGCTATTCTGTCGCCAAATTGCGTGGACGCCAAGAATAGGTGTTATATTTGTGATCAGGGCCACTGATTACCACTAAAAACGAATTTTCAGTCAAAACAATTGTTTTGACCTTCTTGGGTTTGCTTATTGGGTTGTCCGGTGTCCGTAGCGTCAACGATACGTCATCGCTGTTACGAAGATGTGAAACTCCGCTCACACTGCCGACCAAATGGTCGGCCACCTACAACCGAAAAAGTCAAAAAAAATTTTTCGCTCAAAACTTGCTCCTAGGGGTAATCGACAGTCCTGATCACGATTCTAGACTTTATTTTCGGTTCCAGTGCCATCTGGCACCGCATAGTGCCGAAGAGCTGAGTCTGTGCATACTAACGAATTCGAACGAAAAAGCAGTTTTGCTCCATAAAAGTAGGATTGTTCAGTTCATCGTGAATGTTTTTTAAAAGTAGGATTGTTCAGTTCATCGTGAATGTTTTTATTAGGACCAATTATTTAGACAAACATGGATCCAAAAAATGAAAAATTGTAGAAAAGCAAAATTTTGTCCTCGGTGGGATCCGAACCATCGACCTATTTTTTACGTTTTTTTTATTCGTAGAAGCGCGCAGCGAAAATGAACCTCAGTTTTCTGGTCCTCGTATGTGCCCCTACAATATGCACAAGACCATTTTGAAAAAGCTCACCACGCCCTGAACGACCTCCCTTGTAAGACTATTCCTCGTACCCATTTCTCCAAGTTATTCCCATAGTTCCGCAAGTATACTTGCTGTCCTGCCTTGAATTTCCTCTCGTTTACTTTTTTATCGTACTGCTCCTTCATCCGCTACTTCCGGGTTCCTCGGCGTCTTGAAAACATCTAAGGTCGTCTTTAGCGCACGACTCCATGAGCATTTCCGCAGGTGACATTCCCGTCGCGGGATGCTCCGTTACTCTATACTCAAACAATAAATCCCTAACTATTGTGTCCACCGCTTTTGCGGCTTTCCTACCTTTATAGTACGCTTTCTTAAAGGTTTGTACAAACCTTTCCGCTTCGCCGTTTGAGTTATGGTGGTACGGCGGAATAAACGTCAACTCTATATTTCTCCTTTTGCAATACTCCTCAAATGCCTTAGCTATGAATTGTGGCCCATTATCCACCACAATTTGCTCCGGGAGGCCATGCGTACTAAAAATATCTTTTAATTTCTCTATCGTTTTCTCGACGGTCATCGTGCTCATAGGCAACACTTCAGGCCATTTCGATTTTGCATCAACTACCATTAACCACCTTTTACCATCCGTGGTCTCTCCGAAATCCATATGAAGCCTCTGCCAACCTTCAAGGATGCAACGGTGTACGAGTCATATCGTTCCCCATTGTTGCACATATTTCACAAGATTGCTCCAATTTTTGTATGTCCATATCTATACCAGGGTACCACACCTTCTTTTCTAGCCAACGCTATCATCCTGTTCCTCCCACAGTGGTTAGAATGCGAAATCTCTAACACCCGTTTCTGAAATCTATGCGGAACAACTATTCGACTGCCTCGCATTAAGCAGCCCCTATACGCATTACTGTTTTGCACCTTTTATAAGGTTTTGATTCCTTTTCCTGAATCTTTTGTGGCCAGTCTCGCTTTACATAAGTATACACTTTCCGTAGCGTCTCGTCCTCCTGGGTCGCCTTAGCCTGATCCTCACTAAAAATGATTTCCTCCCAAGTTTCAGCCATCATCTGTTTCTCTGCCACTTCATCGATCACCATTTTCCGAACTCGGCAGTTCTCTCGGATCCGGTAATCTAGATAACCCATCCGCATTTCCAAATTCGGAGGTCTTTCTGTACTCAATGTCGAATGAGTATATCATCAGGCGGAGACTCCAACGATGCAAGCGTTTCGCTGCTATTGTTGGTATGCCATTTTTGGGTCCAAATATTTTCACAAGTGGCTGATGGTCTGTTAACAATGTGAACTTACGTCCGTACAGGAATTGGTTAAATTTCTCCACCCCATATACTATACCTAACGCCTCTTTTTCTATCTGGGAATAATTTCTCTCTTCCTTTGTTAACGTTCGTGATGCATACGCTATCACTTTTCCTTACCATCCGGCATCTTATGATATACCACGGCACCTAACCCATATTCGGAAGCGTCTGTTGCCAATACTACTGGGTATCTGAGGATCATAATGTGTCAAAACGTCTGCTTGCATTAATCGCTGTTTGATTTTTTGAATGCGCTCCATTAGGTGGTGCTGCTAAAGTGGACAGAATTTGGGATAAATTTCCCATAATATTGTAACATTCCTATGAAAGACTCAACTTCTTTCAAATTTTTCGGTTCTGGCATATTCACCATGGCCTGAACCTTCTTTGGCGAGGGTCTAACCCCTCTGGAATCTACAATGTGTCCTAAAACTCCATTTCTTCTTTGAGAAATTCACATTCTCCTCGTTTCAACCTGAATCCGGCCTCCCTCAATCTTTTCAACACCTCCTGTAACCGATCTAAATGGGTCACGTCGTCTGGAGCTGTCACTGTGATGTCATCTAGATATATATATTATTACTCCTTCTATTCCCGCTAGCGTTGTCTCCATTATCCTTTGGAATATTGCGGGGATCACGAACATTCCTTTGTGAGTGTTTATCGTGGTATATTTCTTAGATTCAGCCTCTAATTCTAGCTGCATATAAGCATCCGATAAATCCATCTTGGAAAACTTTTGCCCACCGTTTAACATATGAAACAGATCGTCCGGTTTCGGTAAGGGATACTGATTGATATCTAACTGTGGGTTTACTGTTACTTTGTAGTCTCCACACAGTCGTATTTTACCTCCTGGCTTTGGGACCACCACTAACGGTGTTGCCCACTCTGAATGTTCGACTCTCGTCAATGTCCCGTTCTCCACCAATTCCTAGAGTTTCGCTTCTACTTTGGTCTCAGTGCAATCGGGACTACGCGGCAGAATTTGGGCTTCTCAAACCCCTCCTTGAAGAAACGGTCCGCGATCAGGTATCGAAGTTGAAAATATGGTGTGGGGAGGGTAGTGCGGTCCGCGACGAACAACCCTGTACCGTTTTCGCGGAAAAAAGTGCAGGGGAGGGGCGCTATAAGGCAGAATAGATCCAGTGGTTCCTCCTTTTTTCCAGTGACTCCGCCTCCCAAGCGCCGCCCTTTAGTGAGAAACCAAGTTTTCGGACGAGAAAAGCATGAACATTTGAGCCCCTTCGTTATTTGTACGGACGTAGGGTTGTATTGGGTCAGCTGAGCGCACAAAGGGGTACAACTGGAAATGTATTGCAAAAAGTATGTATTGCAAAGTGCACGAAAAGTTGGAGGAAAATAGCATCATTTTGAATTTGAAAAGCAAAACAAACTCAAAAACAACAAAGAAACATTATGATGAGTTCACTGAAAAAATAAGAATATTAAAGGTCAGTCTTTCATACGTGGCGCACACCTACTTCTGGCAGCGAGCCAATAACGTGGAACGCTCGTCCATAAGCGCTGTTTCCCCATCGCATGCACGTACAAACTAGGATTGTAATGGGGTCCTATTTAGGACATTGGGCATGTTTTTTCTTTTTCTTCACTATTGAGTTACTCTCACCTTGTCCTCCTTTTATGGCGAAGCCCAAATTCACTACTAAAGATGGCAACTGGTCGCGGGCTTGCCTTTAAGCATAAGCGATACCCTAGCCGTCGTACATTTACCCAATCCTTTTTGAAAAAATACTTGATTTGCGAGCACTACGCTTTTTATCTTTTCTCGCAACTGTTCTTCCGTATAACACACTTTTGGATCTATACTCTTGACGTATAGTCCACCCAGGTGGCTAGAAAGCTGGTCTACAAGACAAGGCCAATGTTCATGACGCGTGCCTTTTTCGGTTCTGAGGTTCCATTAGGGGGAAAGGGTCATTTGTTACTCTAGGATTGCTCCGCTGTTAAACGTTTCTCGCATAATATTGCATCCCTTTAAGACGTTGGAATTCTTGCTAGAAACTGCGTTTTGTGTCCTGTCCTCCCACCAGTGCTTGTGGGTGGCAGCGAGTGATAACATCTGATAGGAACGGTAAATGGCGTCAGGAGGGGAGTTGCCAGAGTCATAGTACTGACCGTAACACGAGTGGAGAGTTTGTTCCAACCGGTGATATAAGATGAAGCATTGAAACTGGGTAACAGAAACCAATAAGCCTGATACAAGATGAAATGTGAGAAAGCGAGTGTCACTAGATTCCAAATACACCAAAGCCAGTAACATCGGGCAATTCTATAAAGCATAAACTCTGTGTGTCGGTTTGTCGGTATGTATGTATGTATGTTTGTATGTCTGTCCGTCTGCAAAATGCTCCAAGTTAGTCGGAGGTAAATACGGCCGCTAGACAAACCGAAAACGAATTGGTGCATAGGTGACCCAGTGTTTTGATTGTGATAACAGTCTCCGCTATATAAGACAACCATTTGGTACACTCCGAGCCATTGCACGAGCTGCTGGCGTAGGCAGCTGGACGTGTGCGGGAGCAGGGTTGGAGGGGGGAGGGGGTTTATCAGGTGACCCCTCGCCCTCTGCTTCCTACCCCTGACGTGCTCAGCCGGCCTGAGCACGTGCAGGTAGGGAGGCAGGGGGAAGAGGTTGGGTGGCGGGGATGCGGTTGGGGAGGGTGGTAGCGCACACTTCAGTAGGAGCACACAACATGGGAGGAGGTTACAACCGATAGCAAAACTGCAAGCTAATCCATAATGAAGTAACAAACTGAGATGTTGTTTTGATTGTGATAATACCCTCAACTGTACGTACGGGACAATCATTCAGTACACTCCGAGCCATTGTACAAGCTGCTCGCGTGGTATTTGGACGTGAGGTCGTGCGGGTGCGGGGTGCGGTGGATGGGGGGGGACAATAGCGTGTGAACCCACCTCTGCTTCCCTCCCCTTCCTGTACATGCTCAGCTAGACCTGAGAAGGCGCCAGCTAGAGAGAAGGAGGAGAGCTCTGCGTCATCCGGGCGATGTGACTGGTTCGGTAATAAAATGCAAAATGTTGAAAGTGTGCAAAATGTGATACATGGTGTGGATTGGAAACGTTGATCGTACGTGAGAAGAAGAGACAGCTGGTAATAGTTGCCAACGTGCCTGATGAGTCATTACGAAAATGGTACTAACAGTACAGAATTCTTTTCGACAAGTAGTATGAAGGTGGCGACGTGGGAGCATTTTCGCTGGGTGATAGGAGGTGATAAAGCGGCCGGAAAAGGTTTATATGAGCCACTATCTCCTTCGATTCGATTTAACGCTACTACTAAATAGCGACTGCAACAGCAGCAGTATATAAGCATAGGGGCTCAGGAAGTTCAGACGGATGAGGATCCCTTTCCAACGATGGCAGCGGCATCGAAACTAGTTGCACAGTTACTTTCTCTAGCATCGCGGTGATAGAGAGGAATCGTTCCAGAAAGTAACATATGGTGTAGAGAGGCAATGTTGATCGCGGGTGGCAAGAATAGACAACTGTAAGTAGCTTAGAGGGGTTTCATAGATGAAACAAATAAAAGCCATAGCGAAAATGGCAAAAGGTGTCAAAGTGTCGTGAAAAATTATGTTCATCATAGCAACAGCCGTGCATACGATGCTGAGTGGACAAATACATCTTATACTCCCGCATTGGGGCACTTTTGAGATGAAACTCTAAAAACTGTTCTCACACTGTTGCTAAGGTACCAGAATGTACAAATTTCGTTGTTGTTTCGGTACTGTAATTATTTGATCCTTTTCGATCGTCTAACAATAGTCAAGCATCACGTTGCGAAAAACCGATTGCGATACCGCACATCGAAGGAGCGCGTGTACACGATTCACTGGATGCGTACGCATTAGTCCTGTGTCGTGGGACTAGGACGCTGCATGAGCCAGAATCTCCCTTAAACTTCCATCGTTTTTGGAAGAAAAGTATCTTCCTCATTGGTTGGATTAATGATCGGTGGTGACAGTCTATCCAATATGCGCTGAGGCAATCGCATAGCTTGCGCGACAACTCGGACTGATGAACAACGCGGAAAATTCATGCGAAAACGAGTTTTTTTTTTACTTTTGTTGCCAAATATACAGCTTTGTCAAATATGAGGCAACGAGAATAACGGGTTGAGAACTCGAAGATCCCTTCTATACAAAAGGCAAAATATTTTTGTGGCTTGACCACTGACAAATTCTTTGATAATGAGTCTAATAGCATACAATTTTCTGTTCATTGTATAGACGGAGCGGGGAGATCAGGAAGAGTTAATTGAGAGAAAATGACAGTTCACTTATAGAAAACTAGTGCTTGAATGTGATTGCTGCGTACGTATTACGTTATTCGAAAAGATCTCTCTTGTTCTGCTATTTTCCCGAAATCATTCCTTACTTTACCTCACAAATCCTATCTGCAGCCTCAACGTGACGTGGAGATGAACGGCTTGGATTGCTCCCACAGTACCAACGCGAAGGTTGCCACGTAAGAGCCTGGCGAGCTACGCGTGGTCGAAGATTTCACGTCGAGAACCTCAATGAATGTGGGCCTCATTTTGGTCGCCGCAGTACTAGGATGACGACCTGTACTCAACGCACGGACGCTTGCTCTAGAAGCTCACATCGAAGATCTGATGTTGCAAGCCAGGAAGATCAAGTTGACGTCATCGGACTGACCGAGACGAGGAGGCATCGCCTACTACACGCCGTATACGAAACGGGGGAAAACTGTTCCTCGGAACATGCGACAGCAGAGGCGTTGGCTGTGGGCGTCCTCGTCAACACGCACTTGGCCATGAACATCGATTCGTACGAAAATCTGACGACCCGAATCGGACGTTTGGATTGAGAAGATGTGGTTCAACTCCAGCTTTGACAATCTTCGTCGCCTACGCACCAACATCAAGCTACGACGAGGATGAGCTCGAAGGAGAGCTCCGTAAGGATCTGGAGAAGTAACTAAATATATCGCAGCTTCAGAAGCCCTACTTTCTACGCTAAACATAGAATTCTCATGAAGGACAACTCCATGATGAGATCGATCTCATCGCCAATCATAGGTTTTGCTTGACCGACGCCCATCTCGTCGGTGAGAAATCGTACGGCACCCTGGTTCCCGACAGGATCAGACCCGAACATCTGAAGAATCTTCCGCCAGTTCTTGTCAAAACTCTGGCTCGACTCTTCACGCGCTACCTGTCGGAATGCAAGGTACCCACCTCGTAAAAACCAGCAAGACTGTGTTGCTGTACAAGAAGGGAGACCTGTACGACATTGGCAATTATCGCCCAATCTGCCTGCTGTCTGTAGTCTACAAACTCTTCACACGAGTCATCCTGAACAGGATTGGCAGAACACTAGACGAAGGACAGCCATGCGAGCAAGCAGGGTTTCGAAGAGGATTCAGCACGATCGATCACATCCACACGGTAACGAAGCTCATCGAAGTATCGCGAGAGTACAAGATGCCGCTATGTCTCACGTTCATCGACTTGAAGAAAGCCTTCGACTCCGTTGAGACAGAAAGAATTATCGAAGCCCTGGGCAACAATGACTTTTTGAGTAAACCAGGATCTTTGTGAGCTCTACAGCAACTTCACGACCAGGATCTCACCATTCTACAAGGAGATCATCATCGGCGTGAAGAGGGGTCCGACAGGGCGACACCATTTCGCCCAAGCTGTTCAGCGCCTCTGTTGAGTCCTCATGTGGAACTGGACCTATAAGACAC